ATAGAATAGAATAGAATAGAATAGAATAGAATAGAATAGAATAGAATTCTTTATTGGCCAAGTCTGATTGGACACACAAGGAATTTGTCTTGATGCAAATGTTCTCAGGAACATTAAAAAAAAAGATACATTCATCAAGAGCCAAGAATCATCAGGTATAACACTGAATGATAAGAATTATAAGAAGAAGAATAAGAAGAAGCTGGAACAAGTAATGGGAGCTCACTCTGTTACGTGGTGCTAGGGATTCGAATCGCCGAACTGCCGACCTTTCTGATTGACAAGCTCAGCGTCTTAGCCACTGAGCCACCAGCTCCCTCTAATGTGCCAATATGACAATTCTAATAAAAATGGAACTTTGAGGAATTGATTGTCCTGGAGTTTATTGGTTTGGAGTTGGTTAGCGGGAACGCTGGCACATCCCTTCCTCCTCCGTCTTTTCGCCACCACATCAACCCTGCGAGGTGGGTTGGGCACAGGGAGAGGGCTGGCCTGAAGTCACCCAGTCAGCTTGGGTGCCTAAGATGGGACTAGAACTCACCGTCTTCCGGCTTCTAGCCTGAAGTCTTAGGCAGTGGACCAAACTAGCCTTCAGGCTGTTCAGGCATGTGTTACTCTTTCTCTTCTACACACACACACACTCACACACAATGTGGCTGAGATTCATCTCACTGCAACGGGATGTTGCAAGATGGCTATATATTGGAGCAAGTGAAAGAAGAAGAAAGAGGCAGATCTCCTGTGACAACGATGGCCTTTCGGAACAAGGATAAGATGGAGCTGGTTGGCTCAATTAGGAGCCGATAGTCCTGTGATGATTTTCATATAACGCTCCAGTTCCATTTTTTTTAATGGTGCGTCCCATGGACGCTTTGTGTTCCCTCGTCCGTACAGATTGTGTGATTGTGGTGGCTCAGAGCCCTGAGAGCTCAACAAAAGTCATCAGTGCCCAAGGGGCCAGGGGGGTCAAGAAGGGTCCCCTTGGGTCCTCATTGTGTTGTGGTTCTCCAGCAGCAGGTGTGGACGGCTGAGGTCTCGGAGAGCGAGAACTCAGATGAGGGGCCTGCGTGGGATGGAGGGATGGGGCCATCAGGGAGTGGGAGTGCTGCCTTCGGAGGTCGTGGAGGCTGGCAGCACTGAGGAAGAGGCCCCCGAGGAGCCTGTGCTCAGTGTGCGTAGGGCTGCTAGAAGGAAAGAGCATCTGAAGCAGCATGGGTGACTTGGGAGTAAGGCTGGAAGATGATGGCCCCTCTCATAAGGGATAAAAACCCACCTTCGAGGTTGGCTTCTTTGCAGGAAGCAAAGAAGTTCTTTCTGCTCAGATTCTTCATCGAAGCTCTGCTTGCTCCAGTTTGTTTTTGAAACTTCTGGCTTGGGATATTATTTATCTGCAATTAGTTCTTGGCAGCCTTTCCCAACCTTGAAAGGGCTCGCTCTTATCTGGGACAATTAGTTTGAAATGACTCTGGGCTGTGAATGCACAGAATTCACAGTGCCGCATTATAAAGGTTTACTTTTAAACACAGTTTGTGTTGGTTTGAGTTTAGCAAGGCTTGGGTCAGAACACATTGTGGGAAGGGCACCCTCCTCGACTTAACATAATGTGCAACACCACATTGACTTACGTGACCAGACTGACAGCACAACACAATTCTCGTTGTTTGCATGGTTGTTGGGCTCTCCTGGCATCCAGGATCTGTATCTGATGCTGGAGCCATCACTCCATTGCCAGGTGCGTCTCTGCAATGACAGGGAAGCTGCGTTAGCCAACTGAGGAGAGGGTTCTGTTGTGGCCAGAAGTTAATATTTCTATTCCCAAAGTCGCCAGGAGCTAAATGCAATTCCGGGCTACGTTGTCTCCTGCATAGAGCCAAGCATTTTTCAGGAATTGAAAATGCAACAGAGCAGAAGATGGAAACCTGCCAGTAACAGAAAGGAGCAATTTCTGCATAAATTTATTTTTTTAAAAAAGGGGAAGGGGGGTTAAAGTCAGTGAGTCCTTGAGTGGGAGACCACCAACAAAACCCCAGGGCTGTTGGGAATTGGGACACTTAGGAATGGGAAAGCATCCTAGAGTTAGTTAGTTAGTTAGTTAGTTAGTTAGTTAGTTAGTTAGTTAGTTAGATTTTCATAACTCCTCCCACGCATCCATGAAAATCCCCTAAATTTTCTCATCTTCATTATGATCAGATTTCTTGTTTTTCACTTAAAAGATTACACAAGAGATCATTAATAATCCTATAATGACATGAATCTCAAACCAAGCCAAGGACATAATATTTTGCAATTCTACAGAACTTTAGCAGAATAGCAAGTTAATAGCAAGTTATATAAATGTACTGATCTCTAGAAGGTCAGATTAAGAACAAATATGGAACTTGTCTGGTTCTTTATATTCTTAGGTGTATAAGGTAAATTTTCACATATAACAGTTAGTTAGTTAGTTAGTTAGTTAGTTAGCTAAGGTGGTAGAGCCAGACTCCTCCTCTGTTGGTGTCAGAAATTGATATTTCTATTCACAAAGTCACCAGGAGCCGAGCTCAACTCCAGGGAAACTCCCCTTCTTCATATACGATCAAGCATTTTTCAAGAACTGAAAATGCCACAGAGCAGAAGATGGAAACCTGCTGGCCACAGGAAGGAGGAATTTCTGCATAAGATTAAAAAAAAAGGGGGTGGGGGAGAGGAAAGAACAGCCCTCCCAGGCCAGTCTCTGCAGTCCCTGACTTGATGGCCCACCGGACTTTCAACCAGGTGTAGAGCCCACCCAAGGGGCCCTCAAGAGGAAAGGAGGCCCTGGTGCTGAGATGGGGGCAGGGGTGGGGCTGGTGGGGGGTTCGCAGGGGGTTCGGGAGAGCCCCTAGCAAATATTCTGTGCAGTTCAGAGAACCTCCAATTCCCACTCCTGGCTGGCCCCGCCCACCCCTCCCCCCCCCCCCCCCCCCCGCCCCCCCCACGCGGTCCGTTTTGGAGGCAGGTAAGTGCAGGGCGTGCATGGAGTCTCAGGGAGGGCAAACACCCCCCCCACCCGTGGTGCAGGAGGCCGACTAGGCCACGCCCACCCAGCAACCGGGCAGTGAACGAGTTGCTTAATTTTTTTTTATTATTATTATTATAAAATTTTTATTTGGGTTTTCACAAAACATAATACAAGTAAAATTTCTTTTTTTGAGAAGAGCATGGCCCCGAGCTGTCACTTCTCCATACAGACACAAATTCAATTTCATATTCATCTTTGTGTTCTATTCCATATCATTACTATTTTAACATTTTCTCAGTAATTTTTTCCCTTCCCTTAGTTTTCTCAATCTTACTTTTAATTATCTCATTCCTTCCTAAATTCAATTATATATATATATCTTTTTCTAAGTTTCAATACCTTTCTAGTCATCATATTTATACTTTGGTCTGTCCTATTTCAATTTCATATTTTCTTTTCTCATTAAGCAGTTGCTTAAAATTTTTGAAGCCCACCCCTGGATGAAGCCCACCCCAGGGCAGGATCCGTCCCTCTGGGGCTTTCAAGACACCAAACAGTTCTTCAACGGGGCAGGAAGGATTAGGTAGGGGAAAGAGAGAGAGAGAGAGAGAGAGAGAGACTGGACGGGAGTAAAAGTTTTCTGTCAACTCACAAAATATTTCTATGGTCTTTTTAGAGTTGCCAACAGAAAGGGAGGGGGGAGCAATGCGGCAGCTTGGAAATCGAAAGTGCATTCCATAAATGGTTTCAAAGATAGTAACTAGAGGACTGAAATTTCTGCCGTGCAAAATTCTAACTGGAGAGAATGATTGATAACTCTGGGCTATGGATGTGTCCCATTGGAGGATATGGATTACAATACACCCAGGGGATGGGAGGGGAACCAGGGTCAAGGGTGACAATGAATGTTGTGTCTCAGAGTCGGCTACACCCAGGCAGTGCCGGACGTGTTTACTCCTAATAAATCTTTAAGCTTTGAAAATCCGGGCTTCCGGTTTTGCGCGGCTTCGGTAGCGGCAGGAATTCGCGCCTCTGCGATCCCTGCCGCGTTCGCTGCCAAGGTGCCCCCGATCTAAATAGGTCTGGGGGCTATGGCTGCCTTGTAGAGGCAGCCGAAGAGAGAGGGGATCCGGACAGAGGTTTGGGGGTAACGCAGACCCCCTTTCCAGCCGGAACAACCCCTTTTTCCTGAGGTGGATGAGCGGCGGTCAGCAATGGCCGCCTCAAAGAAGCCAGCAGCCGGGTAAGATTTGTGCTGGAGGAAGAGGGAAGAGCTGTGGAAGTTGCTTCTGACTGGGATAAAGTTAAGAGAGAGAGTTCCTGTAATCTCGAAGGCTGCTAAGGATACTTTGTTTCTAGAAAGAGATACAAGCGGCGAACATTTCAAAAGAGTAAGGTTTTTTCTTCTTCTTGCCTTTCACTCTCCTCCCTAATGTGACAGCAGTGGAACCATAAGAGAAATCCGGGAATCTGTTCTGGAGGTAAATGAATATTGAAGGAGCAAGGATTTCTGAATATTCAAAGGGGGGGAAAAAAAAGAATTTTTTTTGGCTGTGAGTGGGAACGGAGAGGAAAATAAAAATAAAAATTGGAGCAACCTGAAAATAAGGAGAAGACTGCCTAAAACTTTAAAGAGCTAATTTTAAAGAGCTATTAAACAGCAATAAGATTTCCTAAAGATATATTTTAAAGAGAACTTTGTGATCAAACTTTATCCCAAAAAGAGAAAGTGGAAAAAGAGAAAGTATTAAAAAGAATCAGCTGATTGGACTGTTTGATGACTTTGGATTTTATGAGAATTATCTCAGACTAAAAGCACTTGGGTGGTTGTTTTGGAAAAAATTTTCTCTGTACAATGGCATCAGTTGTGGATGAACTAGAACTTATACATCAAAAATATGAAAGAGAAAAGCAAGAAGGGAAAGATGTCTTTGGCACTCTTTTTCAGTTTATAGAAATAGCGGTCTGTGCTTATGTAAAATCGTATGAGCAGGATAAAGAAGAAGCCATTTTTGAAGAACAAGTGACTTTGGTTGGGGAAGAAAAGAAGGAGGAGAAAAAGGAGAAGAAGACTTTAAGACCTGGGAAAACAATCCAAAAAGAGAAGAATAAGGTGAAAAGGGGATATCGTGTTAGGAAACAACAGAAAGGGGGAAAACAGGATAAAAGGGAGGTGGAGAGACAAGGGGGTAAAGAGGATAAGGAGAAGAAGAAGCAAGGGAGAAAGGAAGGGATGAGAAGCTTTAATGGTGGGGAGCAAAATGCAAAAAACCAAAAGTTTTTTAGAGATAATGGATAGATTTTATTGGAAAAGGGATTCTAGAAGGGTACATAAGATTGCATTTTTATATTTGTATTTAGAAATAATTATAGAAGACTGGAAATAATATGCAATTTAAAATGTGATAAAATATTTAGTATAATTCAGTGAAATTTTTGTTAAGAGAGGGGAGTACTTTAATGAAATAATGATTTAAGATCGGTGATGTGGGGGGGGGGG